AAGGTACCTCTCTAGAGGTGAAAGGTACCTCTCTAGAGGTGAAAGGTTCCTCTCTACCTCTCTAGAGGTGAAAGGTACCTCTCTAAAGGTGAAAGGCACCTCTGTAAAGAAAGGTACCTCTCTAGAGGTGAAAGCTACCTCTCTAGAGGTGAACGGTACCTCTCTAGAGGTGAAAGGTACCTCTCTAGAGGTGAAAGCTACCTCTCTAGACGTGAAAGGTACCTCTCCAGAGTACCTCTCTAGAGGTGAAAGAGGTGAAAGGTACCTCTCTAGAGTCAAAGGTACTTCTCTAGAGGTGAAAGGTACCTCTCCAGAGGTGAAAGGTACCTCTCTAGAGGTGAAAGGTACCTCTCCAGAGGTGAAAGGTACCTCTCTAGAGGTGAAAGGTGCCTCTCCAGAGGTGAAACGGTACCTCTCCAGAGGTCAAATGGCTACATCTCCAAGAACTGATGTGACTTGAGCTCCCGGCTGTAGAGTGAGTCAATGAATTGGTTCAAGGGATAATCTCCAGGAAACCCATAGTTTTGGGGGGTGAAAACCCTGAATCTCTGCAGATGTTCCCTTAAACCCATTCATTGAGTGAGAGTTCCCTTCGCCACTTGCAATATAAGTGCTCGATTTGGTCCGTAGCTTTGCATGTGTCAGCATTGGAGCAGAATAGCCCATGGTACAGAAGTGGTGTTTCTGTTGCATATTCTGGTTTGTCAGGGGTGTCACACGCCAGAGCCTTCCTGGAAGCTAATAGTCACAGGAGCACCTACGAAATTCTTTCCCGCCAAGTGTCGACGCTCCGACCTTGCCCATGCTACACTGCTCCACCCTCTATTGTAGCAACTGATCGGCACGCAGCTCACTCCAGGGCTGAATCCGAAGTGGACGTTTATTTCGGCACTGGCGCCTTTGCCCGGCTACAGCACGAGCTGGCGGGGGGGGGCATGGGACGAGATGGGAAGTAAGAGAACAAAGCGTTCGGTGATTCACACGTAGCGTTTGTTTTTTTTGTCAGTTTGCCCAGCCAAAAGAAAAGCAGTGATATATTTGCTGCTTGCACACACAGTGATTATGCTGTAGCTCATGTTTGTGTTTGTTTTGGGGGACAGGACAGGTCTTGGTAACCTTGGTTGCTGTTTTGTATTTTAATAGATTGCCAGAACTGGCGTCTAAGGAGACTCCTGACAAAGATCCACCCAATGACGCAGGTCCTGCACTACCATTGCAAAAGCCAAAGAAACCAAGCTTTTCTGACACGTGCTTAGTAACTGAGTGGGGGAATGGATCCTAAGGTATCTATAATAGCTACAATGATACTATTACTATATATATCTAAAGTGGGGGGTCATTCCCTCATTCATTCCCTGCAAACTCGTCGCACCGGTCAGTTTTGGGAAATGCCGCACTCCAGAACATGCCGCACAGGGCGCAGGTTTCCAGAACATGCCGCAGGTTGGCGCCGCTTTCTGCGCTGTAAATGCCTTTGAGTGACTAGAGAACACATTTACAAGATTGACGTACAGTGACACATAGGTTGTTTCACTTTTTTTCACTTCTTTTCTCTTGTGTTTGTTCCACTGACTTCTCCTTGTGCTTCATTCCCTTTTGGTGTCTTTGTGTCCTGTAACCCACTGTTCCCCAAACCTTCCCCAAAACTCGCCCGCTTCACTTGCTCTCCGCCCTGTGGAGGTCATGAAGGAGGCTTTGGAGTTGGGCCGCCACTTGCCGATGGTGTGAGTCTTTTGCGCGAACAGAATCCGAACGGGCCCGGACCATGGGTTCGGGCTTGAGGGCCTGGATTCCTAGGGTTCGTCTCGGATTCATGTACAACATTCGATTCGGATCCCCACAAAAACAAGGGTTTGGTTCAGTTACCATCCCTTGTGAACTAGAGGGTTCGACCCCTTGTAGGAGGGTCCGGACTCGGATCCTATCCGGGACGATGGATTTGGGGTGATCCTCCGGGGATGGTGATCGACGTGCGGCTGGCCGGGCTCCATCCAAGGTCCTGTCGATCGGACGGCGGTCTTCGACCCTCAAGGCCACCCACCCCTGTCCCCAACCGTGCCGGGCGGCCGCTCCGATCGGGCGGGGGTCCCATTGAGGACGCTCGGCCGACCCGGGGATCGCGGAACGAACGGTGCCATGAGTGGGAAGAAGCGTGTCGCCACCTGCGTCCAGCATGGCCACACCGAGTCGTTCTCGCGCACGAGTCGAAGCCGAAGGGGTGGTGTTGACTTGACTTCGACTTGTGAGGCTCGTTGACACGCAGGGCGTTGACTTGACCTGATGGACTTGACTGCGACCTCGGTCGCACGACGGACATGCCGAACTGGACTTCGAAGGTCCGAACTGGAGAAGCTGCGCGGTCCGAGACTGAAGCCATGTGACTCCCTGGGCTTCACCCAGTCCAAAGCAGAAACAACAGATGTTTCCCCAGTCCTAGCCGGTGTCCCAGCTATGTAAACCCTACACCTCCAAGTACCTCAGAAGGTGTTCAGACCCTCCAAACCCACCCCAAACACCTTCTCAGAAGGTACTTGGAGGCCTAGGGAAAGAATCTCAGAGAATGCCGTAGCATCCAGACCCCTTCGGAAACCCAGAATGGTGGTCGTTGGGATCACCTCAGCAGTTCCGGGACTGGGTTAACCCAACCCATCGACCTTCAGCAGATTCACCAGCTCACGATCTCCGGATTTGGGTCTGTTGTCTGAGGACGGGAAGGGGATATCACTGCCTTAGCCGGCTATGCGGGCGGCAAGAAGGCTGGGCCTTTAGAACGCCTCCCGGATGCAGCGACGGCCTGCCGAACCGTGAGGTGAGGTCGTCGAACGCCGGATGCAGGGGGTCGTGGGTCGTGGGTCGTGGGCCTGGGATGGGTCGTTGGGCCGTGAAGGAGGGGAAGATCCATGGAGATCCTGTTCGTCTACCCTGCTTTTCTTGGATCCTGAATGATTTTTGTGGGAATAGGAGCTTGCTTGGGACTTGGGGAAGCCATTTGCCACATCCAGATGGAGGACCATCAAGCGCATTAAGATGTATCAAGTGCGTGAAGATGGAGCAGTACACAGTAATTGCTCCCACTTCCCCTTGCACTTGGACTCTTACTCCCATTCTTTTCACTGTTGGGCGTTTAAAGGCCACCTGCTGTTCCACACAGGGTATGCACAAAAACATGTGTAAACACATGTAAGCTGGATATCATATATGTGGTGTGGTTTCCTTGCTGTAGCCTCTTCTCCCGTTTTCCGTTTCCGGCGCTTGCTGCTGATCCCGATTCTGGACTGCCATATTTGCCTATAAATACATGGGGCTGGTGGTGCCAGTGGGTGGGCATCTGGGTCGGCAGTCCTGTGTCCCAGAAGAAAGGGGTCGTGTTTGGGCCCATGAGTGTCCGTCCAGGAGGCCGGGGGCACTTGTCACTACTAGCGTGGCACTTGTTTCAAATAGCGTCCTTGTTACTACTAGTAAGGCACTTGTTCCTAGTAGCGTGGCACTAGTTGCTGGAAGAACTCCTTCATCAGATGCATTCTCTTCTCGCGCATGCCGAGGCTTGTGCTACACGGGCCTTCTGGGGGCACCGGATCATGTGAGCTTAGGACATGCACAGGTAGTGCGCTGCTCGGCTCAGTTCGGCGTGTGGGGCACAAGATTGCGCCACGAGAGAAACGACCCAAACGCGGGCATTGCGCCGTGTGGGGAGCATCGACCTGACTGGTATTCTGGTAGAAGGAGGTGGCAGTATCTCATCCAATGGAGCAGAAGCCTCCTTTCGTCGTATGCGTATTCATAAATACACAAATAACACAGAAATACATGGTGGGCAAGAAAGAGAGGTCAAGTGGACACCTCCGATTAGACATTAGGCCTTAACCCCCCAAGAACCCAGAGTTGCGGACACACTTTTTTTTGAAAACATTAGATCTTGGGAGCTTTCGTTCAAAGAAGATTCTTCCCGCAGCCTTCCCGTGTCTGACTCATCCAAGACCTCTCCTCTCCTCATTCGACAAAAGGTACCGAGATCTGAGGCGTGACCCTGCCGCCGAGCCGCATCGCCGATTTTACCAAGACCTTCTTGGATCAAGTCAAAGAGAGGCGGCTCGTCTTGGTCGTTCGGAGCACTTGGAGAGGCGCGTTGGCGAGATCTCGGGGGATCCCATGGGCTTCTCATGTTTTGTCCAGATGGTCTAAAGCATAAAGGTGGACAGATGAATGAACATATTATAATTAGGAGTGTGGGCACCTGTTAATGTTGGAGTGCATCCTTAGGATGTGGACTGCCAACATAAAGCATATATACTAGATCGTTTCAACTGGTTTTCACCGCGGGCCTGGAGACATGAAAAAAGATTTCATGTGCTTCGCCGAAGGGACCTGGAGGTTTTCTTAGTTCTGACTGAAGAATCACACTCCCAGACACTCCATGGGACTGCCATATTTGCTGATCAGTTGGGGTGGTTTGGGGGTCAATTTAGGCATATATGGTATACATGGACTGTTTGGGATTTGGCAGGGAGGCTTTCAAAGAACAGTTGTCTTGGTCAACGGTTTTTTGTTTTTATCAGGAAGGATTCAGTGATATTGAGTGCCCAGAGCAACCTGAGACATGTACCCCATAGAGTTACGGGTCACCAACTTCCTGGTGGGGAATGTTTGTGGCTCCTGGTATGGCGGACCAATCTTGCCTTCAGAACCTCCAAGAAAGAACAACAGCTTGACAACACATCACCGAAAGCATCATGCGAGACCTTTGTTTATAGCTGTGACCGGGAAGAGGTTACTCGCAACATGTGGGCGTATGAAAATGATACCACTTATTACCAGCAGAGGTGGGTCAGAACCCGAACTAGGCTATCCTATAGGTACCCCAGGTGACGGGGCCTAGTTCAGGTCACTTAACCTCTGGTGGTATATACCTGGACCCCCAGTCGGGGTGGTCAATGGACACCCCTTGACCTCTAAGGGACCACTAATGGACACCCTTTCCGTGGTGGAATATACATGTTACACATGGTGCTGATGTGTTTTTGTATTGTTTTTGTCTCGGTTTGCTGAGGAGAACGGTCCTGCAAGGTTCTCAGTACCGTGTCTTGGCGGTCGGCACCAACAGTTCGTTCCTGGACGGGGCGAGGTCTGCTATTCTTCAATCATGGAGGAACCATGTCCCAGAATTCTTCAGAGAACATCTACATGGAAAACCATGAAACAAAGATCTGTGTTCTTTTTTTACTAGTTGAGGAATGAGGAACCGCGATTTGTAGTGAAATTCATGGTAAGTCTTACGTAGCTTTGCCATTAGTCTTTCGTTTGGTAGGCAGCCCACTGGGAACCTCAAGAGATGTGTGTAGTACGGTACTATATGACCAATGCTCAAGTATAGTAGCCAGATAGCCAGAGCACGGTTTCATGAGCGCAGAGCAACCGATCCATTGGGATTCAGATTGGGTGGTTCTTTTGACATCCAACCCGCTGAGTATTAACCACCAGCAGTCACAAAGGGGTGCTTAATGGAGGTTAGGGGTGCCAATTATCCACTCACTTAGGGTCCAAACACCACCCCGTCTTGTGACTCCTGGCACGTTTTTGTTCATGGTTTTCCATGCGGCACCCGACTCAACTCTCCGAGTTGGGTACGGAGGCGACCGTTTAGTAGACTTGTTCAAGTCGCAGGTGGTGTTCCCGAACTTGGAAGGTCCTGGTAGATCCACATACCCTCTGAGAAGGTGTTTGGGGTGGGTGCCAGGAGGGTCTAAACACCTTCTAAGGAGGTACGACTGGAGGTTAGTGTAGGGATGTAGAATCAATTGAAGAGCTTGGAACTGGCCAGATGTTGTGGTTCAATTTTCAACCCACCACCCAACGAATGCGGTTAACCACTAAGAGGCTATGTATAGACACCTTTTGGAAGGTCCATGTAGGTGTTCGAAGAATTCTGGGAACTGGTTCCTGACCTTCCAAGGCTGAGAACACTCCGGCGGAGGTTTCTCACGCCCGTGCGTATCGACCAAGGGCCTGTCCTGGTCCCGGTCCCGGTCCGGTCACCAGCGAACTGGGGCTGTAAGTTCGGTCACTTCAGTTCGTGGCACTCCAATTCGTTCGGTCACGAGTCCTGAAGAAGCTGGATGCAACCCATGTTTCGACCGATGGTTTGCCTCACAAAAACCAGGAGAACCCTTCGAAGGCCAGACTTGCCTTGAGTCGACCCTGGACAGCGAGGTATGTCCCTGCGGCCTGTCGGTCCTGTCGAGGTATGTCCCTGTCGGTTGGTCCTGCCGTTTTGGATTGGCGGAAGGTATTAGCCCTACCCAGACGCTCATGGGCCCTCATATGGAGGGGTCTGGGGTCTCAAATCCCTAGGGTTTTGAGGTACCAAGAGCTGTTTGGAGCGTCTGGGTAGGGCGGCCGAACGGAGCCCAAACGGGTAGGTAGTTCATATAGTTTTTGCTGATCAGATGATATTTTTCCCGAACTGGTTCAATCCCCTGGCATGGGGCATATGATTGGTATATATGTCCAGTCTCTGATGCAAGCAAATCCAAGTCACCCAGACGCGACCCTGGACCCGAATCCTCGGGTCAGGGGTTGGGGTTGAACACCAACAGGTTCTGAGGAGGGAACAACAAGGGCTGTGAATGGAGTGTTTGGGTATGTTTGGGTACATATATTCAGCCCATGAACATGACCCGAATGATCCCTCATGTAGGTAGTTTTCTTGATTTGAGAACCCCACCAAAGGATCCGTAATGATCCTTAATTTACCAGCAGAGGTGGGTCAGAACCCTACAGGCTGTCCATGGCTGTCCTATAGGTACCCCAGGTTTTCCGGGTCCTTGTTCAGGTCACTTAACCTCTGGTGGTCAGTAAAAACGTTGCAATTCCTGGACGCTCTTTGCCCGGCTCGGCCTGGGGACGTCTCTTCCACCCGGTTACGTCGACCGACCATTCCAGCTAGGTGCCGTGATCGGGCTTCGAGGTGGGAAGCGTCCGGATGCGTCCAGACCAAACAGGATTGAACATGCCCAGACACGACTAACCCTATACAGATCCAGTCGTACCTTCTCAGAAGGCACTTGCACCCTCCAAACCCACCCCAAACACCTTCTGAGAAGGTACTTGGATCCCCAGGGTGATGGGACTGCCGGTCCCATGGAGTGTTTGCCGAAGATTGTAGTCAGCTGCAGCTTGGTCAGAGACAAACATCATCGTCTTTATGCACGAATTGATTCTACTTTGTTCTGTGATTCTGCAAGCCATTTGTGAACAAAGAGGAAAGGTTAACCTGTGGTTGTGCAGACTCCCCAGTAAGAACAGACCTTTCAAAGAAAGTCAAAGAAAAGTTTACCATGGTTGACCTGTGCTTGTTTGTCGTTTGAAACCTTTTGTACAACCCATCGCTACAGGTCAAACGGTCAAAAAGATCTCACTTTACAGTTGGTCGCACCAACACACACCTCAAGGAGGTACAGAGCCACTTGTATCGGAATGGTTGTTCGAGATTCAACCCATCAATCCTAGGACGTATATATAAGGAGCTTTGCAACGTCGGCCCTGGCAACCTGACAAAGTCCAGTCATGGTGGATTATGACTGCCAGGTGGAGTACAATGAAGAAAGGGAACCAGAAGAGTCTTTGGGGGTTGGCAGGGGTTGGTACTTCTCAAAAATCGCCAGATCAGATGCAGCTTTCTTGCACAGCAGCATGTTGCTGGACAGGTGGCATTGACTCACCCTACTTCTCACAGGTCAGTGCGGCCTGTGATGGCACCTCGGGTTCAACCGAGGTGGTGGGGAATCAGGGCGAACTGCCATCCACTTCCACGATGATTCCACATGTTCAGGCTTCTTAATCCGGATCAAGTCATCCGCTCACAGGGCCCTGGTGGCCGTGTCGGTGGGGAACACTCAGAGATCTGGGTCCATCCGAGTCTGGACCCTCCATGGCAAGGGGTCGAACCCTCTATAACAAGGGTTTGCACCCTCAAAAACCAGGTGTTTTTGAGGGTGCAGATCCTTAGGGGTCTATGAATGATGGCACCAGCATGTAACGACCACACGCCCTCCTACTTGGTACTTCGGTCATTTGACGAATCCGACGAATTCGTTGGCATATGCTGTACATCGCCCAAGGGCATCCGTGACCGGCTTCTTCCGATTCACGGCCGGTCGCGCACTTTGGAGTCGATCGTGCACCGGTCACTTACCAGGGTCCTGTTGTGACCCCGCGCGGAGGAAGGCCGGTCACTTGAAAGAACCAGGATCTTGGTCGGTTGTGTTGCCCTAGGACCCTAGGGCTCCTGGCCGAGCTCCGGTTCGGTGGTTGGGGTGGGTGCCAGGGGGGTCGAATGCCACCTTCACCTGAGGAGATGGGGCGTTCGGAACCCTATAGGGGTTCTTGTTACTTCCGACGTCAATTGCGGGCCCATTCCCATGGAAAACCCTACACTGGGTACATGTATGCAACTCTTCCATGCCTAGACACCGCGGTGTGGGATGGTGTTTGGGGTGAATGGACTCGCTAGCCACACGGCCAAACCTCAGTGCTCCATTGCGTTGCTTTTCCGAGGTCAGGTGAAGCTGGTGAGAGGCATGGTGGGCACATGACCAAAGACACAGACCTCCCATTTCAAAAACGAAACTGTGAATTTTTCTGTGAGTTCACTTGAGGGCATTCGTGACGCATGACACCCTTTTCGCCGGCCGCCCCTTTTCGCCTGAACTGGATCCACCAGCGGATCCCTTGAGCTACGCATTTGTGTGAAAAGCCGCGCCTTTTCATGAGCTTTTGAGCGTGTGGTCTTTCAGTACCACAAGTTGGCACCGGAGCTGAGCTTTCCGGGCCTTTGGATGCCGGTGTGGCGGCAATGGTCTCCGCAGCTTCGAAGCTCGGATGGATCGTCGCCCTCCGATGAGCCCACTGCTGCCGACGTGCACCCTGACGGTCGATCTTTTCCCTCAGGAAGTTTCGCTGCTGGTACCACTGGGTTTTTGGCTGGTCCCTTGAGAAGAGACGGCTCGACTGCCTCCGACTCGGGTTTGACCTTCGAGAGACCGGGACCGGTTCACCATAGTGTTCGTGGACCTCCCGCACAGTTTGGCATACCGACCTCATATGACCAACCCGGATACCCTCAGATGCCCCGACCACATCCAGGAGCTTGCGGACCGTTTGATGGTTTTGTTGCTGGATGGCCTCACCCTGGAGGTTTTCCGGCATTTGCGAACTTGCTACCTGGCACTGCGCTTCATCCCGGACTTGTTCCAGGTGTTGGACCCCATCAAGTACATGAATGTCATGTTCGAGACCGACTACCTCCTGCCGGCCACCATGTGCATGAGAGGCAAACGGTTGAGCAGCCTGGAAGTGACGACTCATGGCTGTGTTTGACATGCAACTCCCAGGAACACTCCTGGTCCTCACAAGATGGAGTTTGGAAGTGCAGTGAGTGCGGGCATACAGAGTTTTACAGACCCACCGAACCAAGTCGAATGCAGACACAGCACGGTACGTGGATGTTCATTCCCCACGGATCTAACCAACCTGACAGACAGTCTGATCATCCCGCTTCAGGAGCTTCATCATCTACTTCAACGGCACCACCTGCACGGCGACGACGCCGTCGGAGACATCGAGGCAATGACGACCCCGATGATCCTGACGACCATGGCGGCTATGAGCTTGGTGAGGAGGAGACACGAACGACTGACCCTCTTGTTGATCCCTCAGATCATGGAGAACCTCCTCGACCACGCCAGCCACGAGGCCCTCCTCGTGACCATGATCGTGATCAAGGCCACCGACATAAAGGCGATCGTCCGCCAGCAGGACCCGACAGAGGTCCGAGAGGTGGAAAAGGCTGTGGTGGAGGGAAGAGTCAACAGCCTCCCAATTTGCCTGCCGATGGAAGAGATGTGGCCCAAGAACTTGTCCAGACGCTTCAGCGCCTTCTTGATCAACGAGCACCCAATGCTGCTTCACCTGCTGGCAATTCAAGCTGCAATTCCACGAAGAGCTGGAATTCTTTGAAGGGCATGCAACCCGGCGTGAAATACCGGGGAGGCGCTCCACCAGCGACACCAGCTTGGCACTACACGAGCGGCGATGTCAGAGCGTTTGAACGCTTTGAGAAAAGGGTGAACATTTGGGCTTTGCAAGCTCGACACTACATGAGCAGCTCCGAAGCAGGTCTGGCCCTCTACACGTCCCTCAAAGGGGACGCTGAAGCTGAGCTTGAGTTTGCAGATTTAGATCAGGTATACAGTCAGAATGGCATCCAGTATGTGCTCGACCAACTTCGAGGACCATTTCAAGAAAAGCCTGTCTACATCAAGCGCCAATTTCTTTACGAATATGAGCAGGTCAGCCGACAGGCCAGTGAGAGCATGCGGAACTACACGAACCGCTACCGGAGGATCGAAGCTTCACTTCGTTCTGTCGGAATAGATGTTTCTTTGACATATGACCAGGAAAGTCGAGGAAGCAGATTGCTGGACAGGGCGAAGTTGTCGCCTGAGGCTCAACGCCTCGTGCTGGTCGGCACGGGACAACGGTTGGACTTCGATTCAATCAAGAGTGCATTGTTGATGCAATATCCCGAACATAAAGCAGCTCCACCTCTTTTTGTTCACGGCCAGCAGTTTCGATCTAGCAAAGGACAGGGCAAGACCTTTGGCAAGAACTTCACAGGACCACCTTCACAAGGTCCTCAACAGCGAAAGGGATTTGGCAAATTCACCAAGCGGGTTTTCCAAGCAGCCACAGATGGTGATGATCTCCGACCTGAACCTGAGCAAGACCTTGGTGGCGATGATTTGGCCGCCATTGAAGAGGAGAACCCCGACGAGGATCATGACAGTTTTGCCGACCAAGGTGATGATGCAGGCCTTGAGGAGGCCGAAGATGGCCAGGATGCTGAAGTGGACAATTTGACAGAAGTCCTCACGGTAACGGCAAAGAAACTGGCTGCCATCACCTTGGGCAGGAAATGGACAGGACAACCTTCCAAGTCCATAGCGGAAAGGAAGAAGTCCTCTTGCTGTGCAATTTGTGGCCAAATGGGTCACTGGAGTGGCGATCCTGAATGTCCAGGTGCCGATGGAACCTCTTCTTCACAAGCCGGCCCCAAAGGCAAAGGCGGCAAGACTTCTCCGAAGGGGAAGACCAAGGGTTCCAAAGGCTCTTCGTCATTCGGCAACAGCAAAAAGGTGCTCACGGTCAGCCACGGCATTGGTGTGGATCAAGAGATTGAGTATATCCCCGACGATGAACCTGCCAATACCCAGTTTGTCCTCATGAACCACATCATCCAACCTTGTTTGATAGCTGCCTCAGATGCCAAGGGCTATATGGTGATACTGCATGTCAGAGATCTTGTTGTGGGCTTGAGTGGTATCGTGAACATAGTCAGCTTCTTCGTACCTCATACCACCTCCATCCCTATGAGCTCACGAGAGACGAGACCTTCCAATTCGGCTCAGGCGAGCCAATCGTCTCAACCACCTTGGCAATGCTGCCAGCTGCAGTGGAAGGTGCGCACTGTTTAGTTCTGGGAGCTTTTGTTTTGGATGCTTTTATACCGTATTTGGGCAGTTTATCCATGATGAACAAGCTTGGTGCTGTGATTGACGTCCCCAACAAATTGGTGTTTTTGAGCAAGCTCGATGCTTCTGTTCCTTTAGCACTTGTTGGACGGCATTTGGCAATGAGCATCACACAGTTTCCTGCAAAACCTCACCGCCTCGCTGTTTGGGCAAAGATCACTGCACAGGGCCTCAATGATCCTGAAGTGAACCTGCCGCCATCTTGTGTCCAGGTTGCTCAAGCCTTGGAAAGCGAGTCCGAACTTCTCTCCGGACGACCTCATGCACCTGAGTGCATCCAATCGGCGTGTGGATCGATGGCGCCACCTGGTGACCCGGCTCTTGGAAGTTGTGACCCAGGCTTGGCTGACACTTCACACGGCTCAGCAGCTCAACATCCTGGACAAGGACGTGACCAAGCAGGAACACCCTCAGGTCTTGGGGGCAATGTCAAAGGCAAAGGCCAAGGCCAAGCAGCGAAGTCAGAAGAGCACCGGCAAGCAGGAGGCCGAGGCTTATCAACAAAGCCTCATGGATCAGTGCAGTCACATGACGTTCAAGAGGCACGGCAATCGCCACGGAAGCTTCGCAACATGTCAGTCATGCAAGGCACGATGGAAATGGGAGGACGGCGGCTGGAGACTGCATGGTGGCTCATCCAACTACTCGCTACCGCTGCCATCTTTCTTGACCACGACGGATGGCAGCATCAAGCCACCAGAACAGCCGGCACATCCCAGCATGATGGACTACTTCGCCCAGTACCATGCCCAGGCACCTCCAGCAGCATCATCTCAGATGCCTTATCCGCCGCAGGTGCTGCAGTCGGCGGGCCCGGCACCATCTCAGCCCACCGGAATCCGGATCATGGAGGTGGACAAGCAGACCTGGCATCGCCAACGTCCCCTTTCCATGACATCATCAGCGGCAGGCCATGGTCGACGGGTGGAGGAAATGCAGGACATGGACACCGTCATGAAGAATCAGCCTCCGCCAATCTCCATCGCGACGGAGGACAGCTTCTCCCATCTGGAAAGCGCAAAAGACTGATTGGCAACCTCACGAAAGAGATCTACATGTTGGAAACTGAGGTGGGTGCCATCAACAGCCTGCCAGGTGACAAGGAGAAGACGTTCCAGATCGATCTGATGGAGATGTTTGCCGGAACGGCAAGGCCAACTCTGATGGCCAAACAATATGGTCTTACCGCACTTCAGCCATTTGATCTGGAAGATGGGTATATGACCTTGCCAAACGATCAGTGCAGCAGGTGATTGACTTCGCCATGAACAAGTTCAAACCTCTACTGCTTCTCATCGGTTTCCCATGCACGAACCTCTGCATCATGAACGAAAACATGAACTACCAGTACCGCATGGAGGAACTACTCGAACTTCGAGCCCGACTTCGACCTCTACTACGTTGGGTTGTGAGCAAGATGAGACAGCAGTTGAGAGAAGGGCGGCTCGTGCTTCTAGAAAATCCTCTCCGCAGTCGACTTTGGACTGAACCCGCCGTTGCACAGTTGATCACTGAGTTCAATCTCCTCCTGGTCAAGTGCGATGGTGGCTACTTTGGAGCGACCAATCATCGTGGACAAAAGATTATCAAGACCTACCAGTTCGCCACCAACAGTCCAGAGATCGCACAAGCACTGAGGCATCAACTCACGCCTCAGGAGAGAGCTGAATGCACACCACTTGAAGGAAAAGCAGTTACACAGTCTCAAGAGTATCCCATGCAGATGGTGCAGGCTCTTCTCAAAGCTCTCCGTTGTGAAGCTCAACGATGGAGTCCGCACCGTTTTGATGAGCTCCCAAAAGAGGTCTACTTTGCCCAACCTTCCGATGACGAGCCAACATGGAGACGCCTTCTTGATGAAGTTGATCAGATCTTCATGAGAAGCTCAACCAAAGCTTTGACTTTGCAGCCTGGGCACGACCTCTATGACAAGATCAGCACACTCGTGCCATGGGAGCTTGGCCGAATTCAGATTGCATCCAAGCCTCTGACGAGGCGTCAACCGCGTGAAGTCCCTCACACGCACAGAGGAAGCATTTTGCTTCACAATGATGACAGCATCTCAATAGAAGTGGAAGACATGCTGGTGAACCAATTTCCAAAGCAGCGGTTCGACAAGCCTGTGAGGTGCGCCATTTTCTTTTACGGCTTTGCAGCTCCTGATCAACCTTGTGATGAGCCTCAGCGTCAGGAGCCTCCAGTGCACCTACCAATTCCAGGTTTGTCAACAGACATCACCTTCAAAGGAGCACCAGCAACACTTCCTATCTCAGTGAGATCCTCCTTGGCACGACTCCACATTGGAGCAGGTCATCCACACAAGAAAGAGTTGATCCGCCTTTTGGCAACACACGGATCGATCAACAGCACTGTCATGACCGCCTTGGAGTACATGAAATGTGGCACTTGTGAGCGCAATGCCAAACCAACTCAGCCTGCAACTCAGCCTGAAGCTGCCGCAGTTCCTCAGTTCACAGGTCAATTTGGTGAAAGGGTGCAAGCAGATGTGTTCTACACCCGAGACCTGGCTAGCGGCAACCACCCTATCTTGGGGGTGATCGACATGGCCACGAACCTTCAACAGGCCATCCGACTGGTGTCTTTGAATGCACAACATGTGTGGGACAGCTTCCGCACCATTTGGTTTCAGCCATACGGCTGCCCGCTGATCCTCGAGCTCGATGCTGGCACTCCCTTTGCAGGCATCTTCAAAGAGCACAGCCTTGCGGCTGGCATCCATGTGGTGGTGGTGCCGCCAGAGGCACACTGGAGGATTGGAGCCGTCGAGAGACGCAATGCAGTCCTCAGAACTGTCATTGAGCGGCTCGTAGACAACCACGGGGTGGTCGATGGTGAAGGCATCGATTTCGTTTTGATAGCAGCCACACAAGCTATCAATAGCACCACGGCTACCAAAGGCCGATCACCATACCAGGCCACTTTTGGAAAGCTGCCTCGCTTCCCAGGTGATCTTTTCGGAGATGATCATGCCCTGACAGTGGGTGAGAGGTATCTCATGGCAGAACAACTTCGAGTCCAAGCACTGCACGCCATCAATGAGATGAGAGCCTCACAAACCATCAGAAGAGCAATCCTCCGGAAGACGCCACCAAACAAAGCTGAAGCCCAACAGATCCTGCCTGGATCCCTTGCAGCTTACTGGCGATGGAGCAAGAAGGCTTCAGGGCGAAAGAGAGGTGGCTATGCTCTTGGCCGTTTGGTGCAGCACGATACCACGAACAACACGGCATGGCTGCAAACCGGTGGCTCCTTGGTTCAAGTGACCTATGAGCAGCTTCGACCTGCCTTTGGTCTTGAAGGATGGGTTCCATCCCAAGATGACATCAAGTCACTCAAAGATGCCAAGACTCGACTCCAAGATGGTCTTTGGCTGGACGAGCGAGGAGAAGGCCCTCCAGAAGATGAACCACTTGACCCAAGCATCGCACTAGCACCACAGACACCGGGAGGTCCACCAGACCTAGTTCCACCACTTGCCGATGTGGACATGCCAGCACCAGAAACACCAGGACTAGCACTGCGATTACCACTAGCAGCTACAGACACGGCATCAGCAGCAGCAGGAGCACCACAAACTCCTGCAGCAACACAGCCACAAGTTTTCTCACCAACATACAAGCAAACCACAACACACAACATACATCAACACTTCTACGACTCACACCACGAAACACGTGAGAGGACACCGAGAAGACATGACACACAACCAACAACATCAGACACAATATTTCACCGAACAATACAAACACAACAACAGTTACAACAGCCAATACCACAAGCTATGTCTTTGCCTGCAACACCTCATGCACTACAAGAAGGCCAACATGGCCACGATGCAATTATGGGTGACGTACAGCAGACAGGAACAGACATGGCACAAACAGCTATAGCAGCAGACTCAGCACAACCAGAAGCAGTAGTCACAACAGGTTCGGCGCCAGCAATAACGCTGCAAACAAAGCACGGACCTCCAAGTGAGGACTACTGGCAGAACACAGCAAGCACACTCATCAGGCATCACATCAAGCCAAGACGGCACCTATGCACACCAAGCGAGTTCCACACTCTACCAACACCAGCAAGCAAACTCACGGGCACCAGGACAACATGTCCAAACAGCGACGGAGTTGACCTCCGACCCATCCAGGACAACTGGATCAACAGCACTCAACCACAGCAGGACCTTGGCATGTGGTGGATCGGCAGCACACACTTTATGAAGTACAACAATCCAACATGGATTACCTTCATTGCCGCCACCGACAACGGCGAGCCAGTGATGTTCACACCACCGCCACCTGATTGGGACGGCCGCCCAATCACAAACGAACACATGCCAGTTCCACAACCATCCCGGATCTACAGGACCAAAGCAGCCAAGGCCGAGAATGATGAAGAGGCCTTGAACAGCTCGTCCGATGAAGATGTACCTGGTTCAGCCAAGCGCAGCCATGGATCGTGAAATCCCATGGCGAGTGCTGATGAAGGAGGAGCCCCAAGTCTTGCAGAAGTATGTAGAGGCTAACAAGAAGGAGTACCAAAGCTGGATGCAGTGGAACGGCGTCATTCCCGTTCCAGATGATGAAGCAAAGGCTATACTGGCTGACTTCACCCTCAAGAAGCGGGTGATTCCGGCCCGAAATGCCTACAGAGACAAGAACAGGGGCGCAGGCCCAACGATTGAAGACATCATGGCAAAGTGCCGCACTGTCATTCTGGGCTGCCTTGACCCAGACCTCTCTTCACTGAACCGCACCTCTCCGACTCCTTCGAAGTTCTCAGAAAGCATAGTGCTTCAGGTTGCCTGCAGCGGACTGAATGGTCAAGTCGAGAACACTGGCAAGCTCTGGCGCCTCTGGTCCGGAGACGTGAAGACGGCTTTTCTACAGGGCGTCCCTGAGGCTCGCTCTGAACGGCTTTGGATGAGGCCACCCAGGGATGGCATACAGGCATTGGCACAGACATTTCCACATCGTCTGTACTTGATACAGGGAAACCTGTACGGGTTTGCAAGTGCTCCATACACCTGGTTTTCACATGTGGCCAACACCTTGCTGCAAAAGAAGCTTGTTCAGCATCGCCTGGACAAAACTATGTTCCTGAAGCGTGATGACAACAATTTGCTTTTGGTGGTGCTCATAGTGCACGTTGATGATTTCCTTGTAGCCCACCGCGAGGACTATGACCTCGATGAGATTCGAAAGGCATTCAATTGGGGGTCAGAGACCATGCTGGGTCCCGACAACACCATTGTCTTTCGAGGCAAGGAGATCAAGATGGCAAAGCAGGGTCAGGTCACCACCATTCAGGTGACACAGACCTCCTTCATCAAGGAGATGGATGACAAGCCGATCACGACTAAGGCTTCTGAGGATGCCCTGCTGACCACTGACCAGTGGCAGGAGTTCAGATCCCTGACGGGAAGCTTGCAATGGTTGAGCGGCCAGACAAGGCCGGATGCAGCAGCAATCACAAGCCTGAGCAACAAAGGCCGTGACACTACGGTCAAGGACCTCAAGGCCCTTTATGAGTTTGTGAAGGTCATGAAGATGACAGAAGGCTTGGGGTTGAATGTGTACCCCATTCCGTGGAACCGCGCCATGACTTTGGTGGGGTACAGCGATAGCAGCAGGGCCAATGCTCCAGGCCACAAGTCCCAGATGGGAGTGCTGGTGCTCTTGAGCACCCCTGAGTGCACTGAGAAGCGGTGTCCAGCATCAGTGCTGGATTGGAAGAGCACTCGTTCGCCGCGAGTGACCCGAAGCACCCTCGCCTCCGAGGCGAACGCCATGGACGAGTGCACTGACAGGTGTGTGTATGCCAATCACTTCATCACACACCTGCTTTGGCCGGACGCTGCAAAAGATGCTGCCAAGATGATGCATCGGCAGGCCACTGACTGCCGCAGCTTGTATGACGCTGTGATCAGCCCGTCACCTGCTTTGACCGAGAAGAGGACGATAATTTCAGTGAGAAGCATTCAGGACTTTCTGTCCGAACAGCAGGTGCACTGGGTTCCAACCACAGCAATGTGGGCCGACGCTTTGACGAAAGTTGATGCTGAGTTGATTGCCACGTTCCAGCGGTGGCTAGCTGCTCCATTTGTACAGTTGAAGGCCGGCGAAAACAAAAAATACAGCAGTGTGAATTTTTCTGTGAGTTCACTTGAGGGCATTCGTGACGCATGACACCCTTTTCGCCGGCCGCCCCTTTTCGCCTGAACTGGATCCACCAGCGGATCCCTTGAGCTACGCATTTGTGTGAAAAGCCGCGCCTTTTCATGAGCTTTTGAGCGTGTGGTCTTTCAGTACCACAAGAGAAACACCATCCAACAGGTCTCCTCCTCTGGAGGCTTATGGACGGTACGACTGGACCCTCCAAACCTACATAACAGTGTCTCCAATAACCTTCTGAGAAGGGGTACTTGGATCCCTAACGACAGGGTTTCTTTCAATGGTGAAAGACCTGCGTGTCGACATGCGTTTTTTTCACATAGTCTTCACACCCTACAGTTCCAGTCGTACCTCCTCGGAAGGTATTTGGACCCTCCTGGCACTCACCCCAGTCCCCCCTTCGAAGAAAAGGGGCGACTGGAGCCCTAGGGGAACTTACTTTCGGGGTGTCTATCATCAGACTTCGACCGGAGTTGCGGATCGGCGGTCAGAGACGGCACCGCAGAACGTCTGCGTTCTTCCGCGGCCAGGAGAGGGCAATGAACCCGACACCTTTGGCAGCGACACCGTGTATGTGTGACCTGGATCTCCACACAAAGAAGAGAGAGCAACAGTTCTAGGATTCTAGGAGTACCCCTCTCTTTGCTCTAGGAGTCACATTGGAGTTGGGTGGTGATTTAGTACCTCCGTGAGTGGATTGTGACAGGAGAGGGCTCCGCACCCTCCTCTCCTTAACCGAACATGTTCCGGCACCCTAGTCCATGTGACTGGTGAAGCCAGTTTCTGAAAACGTCCGGATTGGTCCATTTGCTTCCAGTACTTTGACTTCCCTAGGGATCCAAGTACGTACCTTCTCAGAAGGTACTTGCATGGATCCCTGGCAGGCTTGGTACGAAGGGTACGATCCACGTGACCTGTCGCGCTGGAAATCCGTGACGGCCTCAGGTACGATTCAAGAAGATTTCCTTGGAGGCCACTCTGCCAGCGGGAGAAACACCCAAACGCCAGAGCCCAGCCTCGGACCGCGAGGTCAATGGGTTCAGCCTCGTTTTTTTACCGCGACGGACGAAACACCGTAGACAGGACTCCATATACCGCGTTTTCCCTGTGTCCTTCGGTCACAAACAGGCCTGTAAATGCTCACAGAGCAGATAAGTGGATCCCAAACACGACCTGTTTGGGACTACCACTGGTGCGTACATTGACCCCCCGGCACCACCCCAATTGATCGCCTACATGAGCCTAGGACTCATACCCAGACACTCCATGTGCCACATATGCCTACATTGGGGTGGTTCTGGGGGTCAATGTAGACATCTATGGCAGACATGAAGTGTTTGGGAGATGTTGGGTCGCCGGTCGTGGTGGGGTGTTTGGTTCCAGGCCTGCGGAGACCAGCAATCAGTTTCGCGACTTGGCAGGCGTTTTTGGCATCGTTCCATGGAAAGCACCATGGGTTGCAGTGCAATTGACTGACATGAAGTCCCTCAAGTGTGTGTCACCCAGAATGAACGACCATGACCCAAGCATTGCATATATATTGTCGGTATAGACCACACTATACACTCACCATTATACTAACTGACCCAACCATTGGCTGACCATAACATACATTAAAATTATACTATATACACTCAGGCACTCACCCCTGATACCATCTGGATGTATGTATGTCAGTCCCATGAAGTACATGGGTCTCGACCTGGCAGCTGAGAGGATTGGCTTGGGCAGCTGAGAGGATTCTATCGGATTCAACGGCGGTTGCAGGTGTTGTCTTTCATGGCCTATGGTACTACGCCAGCAGTTCTATGTTTGAATGCATTTTTTGAGTGAGCGAGCGAGTGAGTGCGTGAGTGCCGCGGTACTTGGATGATTTCACCGAGCTCATCCACCCAAAAATGCTGCTGCTTTTACAACATGTGCTGGTGTCCAAACACCTAAACCGTCAATCATGCGCAGAACCAGACTAGAGTCTAGAGTGAACATATGTGAATCTGATGTCGCAGATTGCAAGATTGGCCAGTCAACATGGCGAAAAGGGCTGTGAGGAGTGGCAAATCAAAGACCATCCGACGATCCTCCCTCCAACAATCATACAAGTGACAAGTGTTTCTCCTGGCCATTTTTGAAAGCATGCCCAGGGAAATCCAGTTACCACTATACCGTACCGTTAACCAGTGGTTCCAAAGACTAAAACCATAGACCGAACGAATCCCTGGTTCCTTACTACTAGTGGTTTGCCTGGCTTTGCCGCGTTTTCATTGCGCGACACTGGCGCGACGCTGGCGTCGCCACAGCGAGACAGCGTCCAACCGAGGTGATGATCCCCCAACTTACTATGACAGAGATTACAAGGCGAAGTGGACAAGGGTGGTTAGGGTGGGTGGTCTTGGGGGATTGGAGAAATGGTTAGAAGCGTTTGGGATTACGGCAGGGTGAAGGGGCAAACCATTTCCTGCCGGGCTGCCAATTCTCTTGGCCGCCTTGGCCAGACTATGGCCATATGATCACACGGGTTTCACACGGGTTTCGACTCCTTAAGTTGGCAAGTGGGCCCTTAAAAGTCAAGAGTTCAGAGGCCAGAGGCCTGGTGACATCCGCTTCGTTCAGCGCCAGGAAATCTATGAGAAGCAGAAGAGGTTGGGGAGACTTTGGTGATGCTTATGGGACTGCGACGGTTTTTGGAGGGCTCCCGAGTTTGTGGGCTAATGGGCCAAACACGGGTGCAAAAAGAAGAGGTATTGCTCATCAGGCGATCAGGTGATTTTTTTGATGTCCCCTAGCGGTAAAATCCCCTTTCTGGGAAATTTTGGTACTTTTCCCAGGTTCCTTCAGCAAATGCAATGAATTAGAGCATGTGCACAATGTAGCTGAGTTCGCATGGCTTTTGGAACTTGAGTAACGACCAAACGATGCCGCTCCAGGATGCTACTTCATTTGGACCACGTACCAGGACCTTCCAAGTTCGGTCACCACCTACGACCTTTGAGTCTACAAAAGCCTCCAGCCATCGGAGACCTGTTGGGCCCTCGGTGCTGGTAGCTGAATTCCCATCCGCTCGGGGACTGCCATCGGACGGCCGACCCGTTGACCCCTGAAACAACCACCCCTGGCCTGATCGGTCACGTGGCGTCACGTGGCGTCTCAGCCACCGCCACCCACCACTCCCGCTCCGGTGCGCGGACGGATGGTCCGCATGGGCACGGACCAAGCAACTGCTACATGTCCCGAACTCGCCTTCCGTTGGACCTCCCTAAAGAACGGTCGACCTGCCTTGTTTGGCTTCAGCATGAACCCTCTATAGTTCACTAAGGGTGGCGGTTGGGCCCCGAGCCAAAGCCTTGTGTTTGGTTTCGGGTGCGGATCCGGTTCAACCCGTTTCTTCGCCTCAGTGCCCACAACCGAACGGTGGCGAGACGGCGACGGTGCACGGTTCGTCGAGACGAACGGTGCACGTCCAGTCTGGAGTAGTAACAAGGACGCTACGCACGGTGGAGGCCATCGCTACTAGATGCTACTAGTAACAAGAGGCTATACTAGGGAGAAGACTCTTACTCAAAGAATCCAAGAGTATTCAATAGGAGTGACCAAGACTCATTAAATGTACGTGCACTAACACTTTGACCTATTTAGATACCAATAAGACATAGGAGAGTTCTGTAGCTGAAGAGGTGGTCTTGCAGGACCAGTTCTTTTCCAGACCTTTTAGTTGAAGACAGGGGTGCATGTTCTGTAGTGGGTGTACATTTGAATATCCCCGGCCAAAATTAGCCACAGTAGACCTTGGTCCGGAGTCGAAAACTGGGAGGTCCCCCTATTTGAGCTACACACCCATATTTTGCCAAATGGCGATATTCTTGGAGAGGTCGATAGAGAGACAGAGGCAGACAGAGAGAGAGAGAGAGAAGAGAGAGACGGGCCTTAAGCTTGCAGCTGAGGATCATTCTTCGAACGGGCTGCCCGGGCGAGTGAGGCCGAGGTTGGAGCGACGTGAATTCGATTGTATAGATATAGCCCCAGGGCTCCAAGTACCTTGTAAGAAGGTACTTGGACCCTCTAAACCCTTCCAAAACACCTGCTAAGAAGGTACGACTGGAGCCCTAGGGTAAGTGACCTTCAAGTGACACAGATCCGCCAGACAAGATCACTCGTTAGAGGACTTCATGAAAGCATGTGCTATTCCAATTTGGGCTGTTTAGCAGATTGTTTGAAGGGGGAGGTTTCAAGTGCTTTGCTGGGCCAGTGACTCTCCTACTTTGCAATGGCATGGGATATGCTTGCTGAATCCACAGGTCTAGTACTTTTGGGCAACCAAAGAATTGGGTAGAAAACCATGGTGAATGTAAACCAGCCGCACTTGGTCGAGATTTCTTCGCTTGGGATTCTTCAGTTCACGCGGAGGTTCACCACGTTTTCGTGCTGGGTCGGTGCTGACAGTTGGAGGGCCCTATGGTGACCTACTTTGACCTGCTTTCCGACCTCAAAGCAGGTCCTCACCTACCCAGACGCTCCGTTTTCACGACGCTCGACTGGTACCGAACCAAACCCTATAGGGATTGGTGAGAAACCGTTCGACCCCCTTGACCAGTTCGGATTCGGGTCCGATTCCTCCAAAGGACTCGGGGCCTAGACGTCGCCGCTTGGGTAGCGAAACGCTCGGCCGCTCGGCAGGACCGTCGTGGACGGTTCGGACCGTTCGGACCGTGCAGGACGTTGAGGAGGCCATGGGTCAGATCCTACCTGGACCTGGTTTCCAGGCGTGTCCTGTCTGGAGGTCCCTTAGTAGTGTAGGGGCTTCTATTGGTGACCCCTTTGAAGGTGCTGGTATGTATTGTGTGGTATATCACTTCATGCAGTCGTCGTGTGGTGAGGCGCTGAACACGGCGGGGGCTTGGCTGGGGTTTCTGACTCGCCCAGAAAAGGAGACTGGAATTGTGTAGACTCATTGATGAATACACCCACCCAATTGAATTGGACATCCTCTTTATTTACCAGCACCTTCCACCAACCAAGAGGTCTCCGAGTGAAATGGAGGCGACCGTCTGTAGACCTGCCAGTCTCAGTCGCAGGTGGTGTTCCCGAACTTGGGTTCGGTCCTTCTATATAGAGGATCCCTAAAAACCTTGGACCCTCCATGGCAAGGGGTCGAACCCTCTATAACAAGGCTTTGTACCCGAACCAAACCCTTCTTTTTGAGGGTGCGGATGGGATTGATGAATCAAGAGTCTTGAACCTATATATGGACCCCAACTCAACCACCCCACCGTCAGGGATCCCCAAACCACCTCACGGACCCGGCGATGTGGGGCGATGTACGGTTCTCCTCGTGGGAGCGGACTCGCTTGGGTCTTCTTGCTTGACTTCGTGGGTGACATGCGAACGTGGGCTTCTCGGTTGTGCAGTGTGCCCTACCCAACAAGAGCGTTGGTGCCGGAGGATCGGGCGATCTGTGATCGCCGGCAGATTGTCCGAAGAGCTCTTGTCACACTATTGGCCGCAGTGTGGGGCGCAGCACCAGGACATGTGGTGTACCTGGCTGTGTTTGCTTCAAGCAAGCACTAGTTGGAGGAATGCTGGACTGAACCCATGTGTTCAGACATGGAGTTCAGTTCGGCTTGTTCTGGACGTGGTTGACTTTACCCGGGGTTGGGTAGACAGCCATGTTTGCTTGCACGTGTGAAGGCGCTTGAGGCCAACCCGCTTGGTGCCAAAGCGGATGACAGTGAGACGATGGGCTACTTGTGCTCACTGGGCGCCTGTCTGTAAAACACCTGGTGACCTGCTAGCAGGGGAGGCCTTCAATCCGTTCCTCTTGTGTGTTCTTAGCCAGGTCTCACTGTGTTTGTCTTGCAAACAGAGCTCGCCCCCGTTGTTCTCTCGGTCGGCACGGGTTGATCTGTGGTCGGCGTGCTTGTGAATCCAGACACAGAATCACCCGCATGCTTGGATGGATTATACGATATCATTGACTAGCATCCTGGAGCAATAGTACTACAGTCGGGGGATGATTACAATAAACGTATTGACATTCGTGGAGGTTGAGAAATGATGACCCGCACATCCAGACCTCCATTCCATTCCCATGCGAGGCTCGGCTTCCGTCACGGGCGGTAGGAATTGATACCCTCCCCTCAGCAATCATGGAAGTGGAGTTCACCCCCTGCTTGGTATTCGGAAACTAGTCTTGGTCCAGGCCACGTAACCATGATGGTTGGAGGTGGGAGTAGTGGGTTCTACTTGATAGGTCTCCAGCCCCAGCTACTTTCAGAGTAGATGACACAGACCCCAAGAGGTCTTTTTGATGGGGTTCCACATGAACCACCCATTGGGACTGTGCCATCTACTCTGAAAGTACTTGGCAATTGAAAAGTACTTGGCGACCAATCAAGTGCTGAACGCTGGTCCTGCACAGCGTCGGAACACCAGCTTTGAAAGGGCGCTGTTTGGCGACGGCCAGGACCGCAAAGGCAAAGCCAAGATGTCGTAAGTCTCACAAATGGTGTTTGGTATTTTGCTAAGGGGACCCCCAAACCAATGAATTTACAATGTTTGCTGATTTTCTCAGAGGTGCCCCTACCTAATTTGTACCTATAAATTAAATCTGTTCGAACATGGCAATGTACCCAAGCGTTTTCACACCGTCCTTAGGGGTTTGGCATCTCTACTTTAAACTAAACATTAGCATGTGGACGGACAACATTTGAGTTTTACAGTAAAACATACCGCCATGAGGTTTCCCCCTGTCAGGCTTTGAAGAGACGGAGATCCGCACGTGACATCCGGATCTCGTGAGGATTTTCAGAGATGCCAGGGCAAAGGACTCATCGATAATCTAATTCATTGATTAGATATGGTATACATATTGTGTTTAGCTAAATTAACATAGATTAACGTATATATACACATAATTGTATAAATAAGAGAGTCATGAAGTTCCGATGACATGACGAAGAAGATGTTACCTTGGTGTTTGAAGATCCATATCATTTTCACGTAGCCGCTGGCACAACCATGGTGCCATAGCTTAGTTTGCTTGGGATCGTTTGCTGGACCATCCAGCGATCCGGGAACAAGCTGGCAAGAACGTGTGCTGGTTGGATTTCAATGGAAGTCACCGTGTGGAGAAACCGTGTTCGAAGTTGGAGCCGTAGCCATTTCCTACAAGTCCAATCTGGCCAAGTTAAGCCTGGTTCTTGACCTCATTGAGTACTGGTTTTGCATGACTGGGCCCAGTCAAATGAGGTCCTCAACCTGTAGGGGATTGTTCATGAAATGCGGGTCATATTGTTCATCAATCTCGTCACCGCCCAAGTTCTCAACTTCCGGCAGAAGGCCTTTGTTTCAACGTCAGTGTCTTCCCTAGGGCTCCAACCGCATCCTCAGAAGGTGGTTAACCCCTCCAAACCCACCCTAAACACCTTCTCAGAAGGTACGACTGGAGCCGTAGGAAAACGTCAGTGTCTTGTCAGCTTTAAACGATTCCTGTCTCTCGGCCTCGGTCGGAAGTTCGACTCGGCGTGGACCGTACGGCGTACCGTACGGGGTATCAATCCAACCACTGCATGGATTGAGTCAGCGACCAAAGACATGCCACCGTCGCCACGCGAAGAAAAGGACCAGAGCGTACGACCATGCGTGTGCTGGTAGCATACTCGCCGCCACACCTATATAGCGCACCTAGCTGGGTGTTTGATGAAGAGTCATGAACAGAGAACTCATTTCACTTCGGAGTTCTTGGCCTTATCAACATCCGTCCGGGCCGTGCAGTGTTCGCAGGGTCAGAAAGCCTTCGCAGCCCGAAGTCCACCGAAAACCAGGGGAAATCGGACCCGCCCAGACGCTCCAAACAACCGTGCGACCCCTCCATATGAGGGTCCATGAGCGTTTGGGCGGATGTATTGCTGAAGGGGGCCCGGATTCTTCCGAATGAACAATTCACCCATCGACAGTTCCCTATCCAGTCCGACTTGTTCGCGGTGCTGGGGGTGGGTGGTGCCAGGTCTGTGCCCACCAAGCCCGATATGATGGGCTAGGAGCCTTAGAAGGCTTCTTAACATGTCGTAACCCCCGCCATTGGGATTCCAACACCTGCCCAGACGCTCCCAACAGCCCTTGGTCCCTCAAAACCGGATTTGAGACCCCTGACCCCTCCATATGAGATGTTTCAAAACTGCTATGTTGTGGATGTTATGGGATGTTTGGGGTAAATCCACTTCTGGGGATCTTTTTCCAGGTTCCTTCAGCCAATCCCAGATCTTCTGGTGCGACCCTCTCCGCGACCATCCACGGAGACCAACTCCGCTGAGGTGTCCGACGTCGAATTGTCGGGACCCCCGGCGTAGTGGGGTCGGCCTTCAGCCGGGCGGACGGCTCACCGCAGCCGTGTCACCGCAGGTGTTTGACGCTGACGCGACATGCGCGGCCGTTTGGCCAGATGGAAAGCCCCCTTCGGGGCCGACCCCTGAAGAGGTTCGGGGCTGACCGGGTCGTGCTTGGGCATGAGCATTTTGCAGAGATCGATATTATACCCTAGGGCTCCAACCATCTCCGGAGAAGATGGTTGGGGTGGATTTGGGGGGTCTGACTCTTCTGAGGATATGGTTGGAGCCCTAGGGATTATAGCTTTATAATGCTTTATAGGATTCATTGCCTCACCATATCGATTGAATAGCCCGAATCCCGAAGAATGGGTTTGCCAAGGATTTTCTAGCTCAACCATTGTTGAAACCGTGAATAAATGAAGTTAATGAATGTATAATCCAGAAGTCACAGGGGGCGCCCCTGTCACATGCACTGGGACATACTGGGGCGAACAAAACCACCCAGGCCCTCCCTGTCACTCCTGGAGGTGTCATTTCAGGCTAAGGGCCCTCCTCCAAAACCCATGAGTGACATGACAAAGGTCACTCCCTGTCACTCCGCCTTTGTCGCCTTGTCGACTTGACCTGGTAGGAAGGCACATGTCACTCCCT